GTTTTCTGTAAGGGGTAGGTTTAGGTGTAGGGTTGGTGTAGGGCGATAGAAAATACAGTTTGTACAGTATAAAAACCATTACGCCTATGGAGAGTGCCCGTAAACCACAAATGCAAGTATGTGTGTGTGTGTGTGTGTACGTATATGAACATGTATATGAACATCTTTCTTGTGGTTTAGGTGTGGAATATGACCGGTTTTGTATAAACGCACCTCTTGAGCAGCATGAGGACAGAGTTGGCTGTACTGGCGTCCAGGCCGGTGGTCGGTTCGTCCAGGAAAAGCACCGGAGGATCAAAGATCAGCTCCATGCCGATGCTCGTCCTCTTCCTCTCTCCACCCGATACACCACGAATCAGCTGCGTGCCCACCTGTAAAACCAGCCAATCAGAGCAGTCGTCAATTTATTTATTTAGTTTGTATGTTTTATCTAGCTATACATTTGAGGAGAATAAAAAACACTTAAGACAGTAGATACATCTAAAGTAAAGATGAGACTACATACTGTACACTATTTACTGATTTTTGAGAATGTTAAGTCTGTGTTGATTATACATGTAGTCAGTCAGATGAAGGTGTGTTTGGTTTGTTACCCGTGAATCGGCCACTTTGCTCAATCCCAGCTCCTGAATTAGTCTCTCAACCTTCTCATCTTTTTCTAGCTGACAGATCGACTTCGGGAGCCTTAAAGCCGCTGAGAAACACAGATTCTCACGAACGGTCAGCGTCCCCATGACCACGTCATCCTGCAAAAAATATGCCTTTAAAATAGCCGCCATTTACCGGTATTGGTGATATTTAAAAATGAATAGGACACATATAATAATATGACACATAATTATCCGGCACCATTAGGTTGTTATTCTCACAAACGGTCCTATTTTGACACTGTGCCAAAAATAGCATTTTAACACTAGCATTTTAGTTTCTTCTATTAAGTGTAATTGTTCTTTTTGTGTGCAATAATGTGATTCATTGGCAAATAAATGAATAAGTATTTGATGTTTTACCTTTTTCAACATTTCTATAGACATCGTGGTATCACGATCATCATTATCAGGGGTGTAAAGTAGCTAATTACAAGTACCCTCATTACTGAAACTACCGTATTGGTCCAAATACAAGACTGTATTTTTTTCTTAAAAATACATCTGACAAAAAAAAATGGGGTCATCTTTTATTCAGGGTCTAGACTTTTACATGGCAATAATATACCTGTAACATTATGTGGTGCCAAGTACTTGTAAAGCGTAAAAATTACTGTGGTATGCTATCAGTGCCCAGTGTTTCTCAACAACAAACATTCTAAGTTTTTCTGATGTGAGACTTTTATTTTGAAAGACATGCGTGAAAGCTGTTAACACTTCTGTGAGATGCAGTTTGAGAGTGCCAGAGAAAAATGTGTTGTCCTGATTCAGTATCTGCAGTCAGGTAGGATGTTGTCGGGTTATACTGTATCAGAATCAGAATGAGCTTTATTGCCAGGAATGTTTTCACATACAAGGAATTTGTTTTCATGACAGAAGCTTCCGCAGTGCAACAGAATGACAGCGACAGAACAACAACACAGATAATGAAGAATAAAATCAAAAATAAAGCAAGTAAATAAGGAATAACAATATATACATTGTCAATTGTATGTGCAGGTATATTACAATAGACAGTTTTGTATAGAAAGTACTTGAATAGTTCAGATGCTAAAGCCTCTAAGTGCCGTTTGAAATTTTCTTCTAAAATAAGAATTTTTCTCAGGCTCCTATGTTTACGTTCCGTTATTTCACTTGCATGGAATTAATAGAATAGAATGCATAATATGGCAATGAATAGAACCTGTTCATTGCCATTAAAGTGAAATTACTGAACCTACACATAAGAACCTGATAAAAATGCTTATTTTAGAAGAAGATTTCAAACGGCACTTAGAGGCTTTTGCATCTGAACTCTTCACTTTTACTTGAATATACTTTTCTTTTTTCAGTACTCTTTCCACTCCTGATCGTTATTATGAATTCTTGTGGTCAAGATAGTCATGTAGTGAAAATCTGGTATGATGACAGCCCTAGTTTAAAACCCAAAGCCTGATTATCAGCATGTTTTCATGTGTTTAAACCATGACAGAGCATTTTCTAAATACAAAGGTTTATTACACACAAGGTGTCTCACGACATGCTGGTGTGATTTGAGATTAGATTACACAATCGCTCGAGGAATTCAGACTCCTAAAGAAAACACTAGTAGTTTAGCCGAACGGACTGTATTAAACTGTATTTATGGAAAGAAAACAAATGAAACTGCTAAATGGTTTCGGTCCAGCTCTTCTAATCTTAATCAGCGATAACACAAATCCCTTAGTCGTGATATGTATTCTACAGAATAACGAGTTCAGCTTCCAATTTTAACTGCTGAAGTCGGTTTTTAGAGTCAAACATGACGTCTAAGTTTAGCGTTTGTGCTCCAGACGTGAGGAGAATGTGCTGCTGCTTCACTAAGTGATCAGAAGAAATTAAATGTAGTAAATGAGTGTTTGTGTGCTTTATACCTGCACTACATATCCAGACAGACATTTGAAGTTTGGAGGTTGTGGAGCTCCGTCTATAAGAACCTCTCCAGAAAGACCTGCAGGATCCTTACGAGCGGCCAGAACGTCCAGAAACCTTCAGTAAAACACAAACATTTGTTTATAAGTAAATATAAAAATATATATTAAATATTTATATATATAAGAAATTAATACTTTATTCTTGCATTAAATTGATCAAAAGACAGTAAAGACATTTATAAAGTTACAAAAGATTTCTATTTCAAATAAATGCTGTTATTTTAAACATTCCATTCATCAAAGAATCCTGAAAAATGAAATGTATCTCGGGTTCCACAAAAATATGAAGCAGAACAACTGTTTTCAACACTGATAATAATCAGAAATATTTCTTCAGCAGCAGATCAGATTTCTGATTTCTGAAGAATCATGTGACACTGCAGACTAGAGTAATGAAGCTGAAAAATCAGCTTTGATCACAGAAATAAATTACAGTTTAGCATATATTTAAAAAGAAATCAGTTCTTTTAAATTGCAATAATATTTCATGATATTACCGTTTTCACTGCATTTTTTATTAAATAAATGCAGCCTTGGTGAGGAGAAGAGACTTATATTTAATATATATATATATATATATATTATATATATATAATAGGCCTATATATACTAATATATATTATGTAAACAAAAACTTTTATTTTGCAATTATTCATGATACATTAGTGGATTTATATAGGTATGTTTGTATATACTGTATATATATATATATATATATATATACACACAATGTAACTTTTTGGGAAAAGTACTTCTTTTGTTGCTGAAAAAGCTGCTCTGTTTTGAAAACATTTGAACTACTTTACGTAAAAAAGAAAAAACACTGGTTACTAGGGGTGTGACAAGACACTTGGTTCCCAAGACGAGATAAGACATGAGATTGGGATCACAAGATGAACATCTTGTAATCAGTGGCACCTGCAGGTGTACGGCTGTGACCCCAGAAACATGTCAACCTGTCAAATGAACCGGCGATGGCAATCATTCAAGATTTAAGTATTATTTTGAGTCAGTTCTCTCTTTTCGGTGAAATAAAATGAGATTTGCAAATCAAAAACATATTCACAAATATATTTTTATGTTACAAGCACAACTTTGCCTGGCATTCATTTTTCAATCACACCCTGTACATTTGTAAATCGCTTTATTTTGTGATAAACACAGCAAAAAAGTGTTTGTACTTTGTAGTATAGCTATAAATCAATCATAAAATCTATACAAATAATTGGTTATTGTCCAGCAGCAATTAAAATCCCCTGTGTTAGTGAGTAATCGGCTTGATGAAATTTGAAGTAAATCTCCATCTGTGACCAATATTGATTTCTGAAGAATCATGTGACACTGCAGACTGGAGTAATGAAGCTGAAAAATCAGCTTTGATCACAGAAATAAATTACAGTTTAGCATATATTTAAAAAGAAATCAGTTCTTTTAAATTGCAATAATATTTCATGATATTACCGTTTTCACTGCATTTTTTATTAAATAAATGCAGCCTTGGTGAGGAGAAGAGACTTATATTTAATATATATATATATATATATATTTGTCTATTTGACATCTGATATGAAACAACTTGCAGACGAGCAAACACTAAAAAATACATCTTGCAGATGTCGAACAGATAGACTTTACATCATATATACCATGGTACATTTTGATTACCATATTCTATATCATATTTTAATGTTACTGTAAAATACACTATATGGACAAAAGTATTGGCACACCCCCTTCTAATGAACAGGTTTGACAACTTTAGTAATTTCCATGAGTACAAATCTTAATGTTAAAGCAATAATGATATTCCAGGGAATTGTTTGCTTCAAATTTTATAGTGACAGTTTGGACCGGAGCCTTTTCTATTCTAACATGACGATATCTCTGTGTATAAGGCAAGGTTCAAAAAGAAATGATTGGTTGAGTCAGTGTGGAAGAACTTGACTGGTCTGGTGTGACTTTAGATACAGACCTTGAGCTAAAAACTCATCGCCAAACACCAGTGACTTGTTCATATGGGTACAGTCATTTTAGACACGTCCAAAACTGTTGCAGCAGAGATGGAAATTCAATTTTTGTTTTGTTTCCATCTTTGTTGCCACAGTTTTGGAAGTGCCTTTTTCTGTTCTAAAGAAGAGGGTGTCCCAATACCTTTGTCCATATAGTGTACTTAAAAAAATACTCATCATATCATATATCATATATTGTAATTCAGCAGTACTTTGATATATATCAGTGTGCTGAAATTCATACGCCATGGTATTTATGTGCTACTCCAAGGTGCTTTTTAAAAATACCAAGGTATTTAGGAAATAACTTACTATAAAAAACCCATGGGACACAAAAATTATGTGATCAAACAGCAACAGATTTGACACCACACCGTCAGAATGGAAGAAAGACTCACTTGAGCTCGATGAGGATGTTCTTCTGCGTGAGCTTCCTCTTGCACAGGAAGCCGCTCTTCATCTTCACGCTGTAGTTGATGCTGTGGAAGCTCACGGTCGCTCCTCGTCTGGGCGATGAGAAGGACATTCTGGTGGACACCGGTGTCCTGGACTCATCTCTGACTCCGGTCAGCTGAACAGCCGTGTCTGCCATCACAACCCTGAGGAACAGAAACCATCAGCTGTCAGATGACATGAACTCACTAAATCATTACATCAGGACACACGTCTACAGTAATTTCATATTTAATGCAGCAAGGAAATCAATGACTTAATAAAACAAAAATTTCAGTCTAATTAGCAGAGCCTCATTGTACCTGATCAGCTCTGTATTTACACTCACCTGAAGCAGAGCCGATATAAGGCGAGTGTGTGAGCACGTCTAGGTTCATTGAGGAGAGAACCTGAGTGTTTGTGTATATGTAAATGAAGTTTCATAAAAATAAAAAAAACTCAAGGCACGTCACGTGTTACGATGACCGGCAGGACCGGATTTACCTCATTTTTTTCTTCTTCTTTTTTTTATGATGTTATTATGCAAAAAAAAAAAAGGATTTACTGTACTTCTTATTGTGACATAGGAAAAATTATTTTTGGGCCCTCTCCCTACTATTACCACCTCAAAACAGCAAACAAATTGAATCATAATCTATATGAAAACCGCATGAAAAAGTGTAGCGAGCATATTTAATCCGCATGTGTGTGTGTTTATATGCGAAATAGCGGGAGAAATATATGATTCGTATAGATATTAAAACGTAATTTCGTCGGGAAAACATGGAAATAGCTTGCCGTGTTTTTTTTCCTATAGTTTGTGATTATTTATTCGCTCGGTAAATGTCTTTTGATGAGTTGGTTCTTTTGCTGTTGTAGGCACCACGTAGAATAAAGAGTATGCTTAATTATTTCTCCTTGTAATTGGGCCACTTGCACGTGGGATCATGGGCTGTTATCAGTTGGATATTGATAAAGTGCATGATTCATAGCAATATTGTCCCCAAAGTTTTCTCAACTGGAAGCCATTTCAGACAGCCGATTCTTCAGGCTGCTGACTTTGAGCTAAACCAGTACTTTCAGGACAAACTATAGCATTAGCAAATTATGATAGGCGTCACCCTTATTAAAAGTATTATGCTAAGTGTAGCAGGTATCGATTAGAGTCTGTCTACTACTGAAATTATTAATAGGGTTGCCAGACTGCGGGGGACAGTAAGAAACCTGTTGTGGCATACTAAAACACTAGATAAAGTGGGAACCTGCAATTGTAATTTCAAAGATCTATTTCTACTTTATCTAACTCACACACTTCCGTTGACTTGTTTTTGACATTTAAGAAAACGGTTAATTTAGAATTTCTCTCATAAAGGACATTAAGCATTAACTATAGTGTTAGCTTTATCATCATCATACAATTATCAATGGCAGTCTTGGCTTATTGGCAATTTATGTCAGCACAATGGTTCAGGCTATCGTTAGCACATCTAAACGTCACCTGTATACAAACTTGACATAACACAATAAATTACAAAGCATATGTTTACCTTATTTAACTATAGGCTACAATGTGTGTTAGCATTGGGGCGGGTGATCAAAATGTGCTCCCTGGTAGCAACGAACAACGTTCGCTCTTATTTGCCGGTAATGTGTATAATTTAGCAAAAAGTTTAGCTTCATACATTCAGTTTAGAAGAATTGATTGAGTGCGGTTTTCTAGTGTATTCAACTCCTCAGGTAATATCTTTGGTTTGACCCATTTCAGAGTGGATTGCATCTGCTCTGGTACCTGCCCAAGGGGTTGTTCTAATTCAACAAACACAGCATTAACAATTATTAAGTAGGAAAATACACGAAAATTACCCAGTCTGTGATGACTGTGCTTGTCCCTTGACGAAGGTCTTTCAAGGCACAAATGGAACAGTACTCCTGTATTGATTCTAAAATGGATAGCTGGAATGAATTACGAAGTGTTCTGTTTCACAGTTTTGAGCAACTAACCTGATGCAAGGAGTATTTCCTCTGCCATTTGCCTTTTTAGTTTTTCAATATAGTCTCCAGATGGATTGAGATCAGAAGAATCAGGAATGCCAGTTTCTTTTGCCTTAGGGGGGAAAATGTTTGTTATAACACCCAGCATATAAAAGAGACATGTGGTTAATTAAGGTCAATTAGAGTTCTAGAACACTTTTTAGAGGTCAATATCCAAAGTAGCTCAGCTTATTTAATTGAAGATTTGAAAGTTAAATGTTTTCATTTCAAGGATACCTGTAAGACAAACACTCCACAGCTTGTTGCATCCTCTTGGACCGTGCGAAAAATGGATTCCACTGAATGTTAACCCACTGCTTCATGTGCATTCTGAAGTACTGTCTGTGTTCAAAACGTGCAAAGCGTTTTATAATATTTTCTTTTTGTGTTTTAACATGAATGCCGAAATTAAGTTTGTTTTTATTGAAATTTTGGGGATGCAGTTCTAAGGATCTCAACAAAATACAAAAGAACAATGTAAGAGTAAAAGTTTTAGTATTGCAAGATCATGTCGGTATTTGCACATAGTATGAATTACATTATTCTGACCATGTTTATGGGAGAGTTAAAACAAAAAAAACTTCAATAATTCATCCACCGTCATACTATAAATAACTTTTAATTTTTTTAGTTTTTTTTTAGTGGCATGAGAGTGAATAAATGAAAGATTTTTCAGTCTGGGGTGAATTGACCTTTTGCCCGGAGCTTGATCGACAAGCAATCTAACCAATCATAACAGAATCTGCCATTTTGGTAGATGATCGGCACTACAACGATCTGTCACAACACATTAAAGGGCCACAAAATGGTATTTATTGTTTAACCCTTTAGCGTTCCTGTAAAATTTGCCTAAAACGCCTAAAAAAGGCATAC